CAGAGGAAGTGGCCAGTTTGTGCTTCGGGGCCATTTGTAAGAAAAATGTTTATCTTTAAACCACCCACGAGGGTGAGACCGGGGGGAAGCGCCCTCGCCCCGCCGAGCCCCTGGGGGTCAGACTGGGTCCTGGCCACTCACAGAAGGAAGGGTGGTCCCGAGGAAAACTGATGGGCAAACTCTCAACCCCAGAGAAGTTATTTTTCTTTTAAATCGTGCCTTTCTTTGCGGGGAGGAACGGAGTCTCTCGCCCAGAAGTTGGTTTCTCAGTGGAAAGGGGTTCCCCGAGTGTGGCGCCCGCCCAGCCCCCAAAGCTTTCCTCTCGCCAGCTGCCCTCACTCCGCTTACGCGCCCGCGCCGTCCCGGGGAGAACGCCCCGTCTGTGCGGGTCACAAAGGCGCCCGTTCCAGAGCGCCCAGGACGCGCCCGTGGAGCCGGGGCGGCGCGGCGCGAGCGCGGGCAGGTGGTCCCCCCTGCGAGGACCGACGCGCGCCCGAGCGCCCAGGTGAGTCTCCGCGCCGCTGCACCTGCTGCTCCACAGCGCCCCCTGCTGGAGAAAAGCAAAGGCGTGTCGGGCGCCCACCCCACCCCCGCCCGTCCAGGCTCTCAACTGCCTTCAATCCGGAAAGTCTCGTGTTTCTCCCTTAGTTAAACTTGAATAAATTAGAGTGTGTGAAATAACTCCAAGAAAGTCCGTCAGACATCCTTATGCCCCATCTCCGTCCCCCGTAACCATCCCAATTAAAAAGTGTCTGTGTGTGTGTGTGTGTGTTTCTGCACCCTGGCTTGGCTGTGCCCCAGGCATTTGTTTAACCTTCCACCAGGCTGTGCAGCCCTGGCTCCAGCCGTCTCAGACCTGCATTTATAATCTCCGAGTGGCTTGTCCCAGGAGCCTGCAGAGACCTCCCTGAGTCAGGCTCTTCCTTTCAAGGTAGATTCTTAGAATTCAGCCTGCTTGCCCGGCCCTGGCTAATTAAATACTAGATGGTAGCCACAGTTCCCGCCTGGCAGCACTCTTCCTTCCTTTGAACAGTGTTTGCTGAGCGCACACTCTGTGCTCAGGACTTTGGATACTGTAGTGGGGAGATAGGCCAGGTGTTTCCTGACCTGGGCCTCTGGGTTGCTCAGCACCTCCCAGGCACACACTGCTTCCTGGAAGTGGTCAACTTTGAGATTCCTCCCAGGAGTTCCTCCCAGACTCAAAAGGCTGCTGGTTCCAGGCAGTTCCAGACAACATGGGGAGGAGTTAGGCAGTAGGGAGGAGTGGATCCTGCAGCAGGAGAGCAGGTGCACAACCCACACTGTGTGCTGAACAGAACTGATGGCAGATTGAATCTGTACTGTGGTCCAGGAGTTGAGACCCCTGAATGAGAGATGGTGGGGAGCCAGGGGCCAGAACCCCTGGGGGCGTGAGGGAGGCAGCTTTCTGAAGGCCCAGGTATGAGAATGGGGTGGAATAGAGTGGGGCCAACCCAGGGGGTGTGGACAGAAAGGAAGAGGCCAAAGTTAGCATCCGGAAGCTGGAGAGAAGCCCTTGTCCAGGGGGATGACTGGCTGAGTGTGTGTGAATATGTGTCAAAAAGCACATCAGAACTGAGGAGGCTCCAGTTCCTGGGGACAAATACACAACACAACCAGTTAACTCAAGGGCAGGCTAAATTGAGACTTGAAAATTCTTTTCTTTTTTTTTTTAAAGATTAATTAATTAATTAATTAATTTATACATACAAGCACTGGGTACAGTTAGAAGCACGGGAGGGCGAGAGAATTCACCAGAGCCAGAGTGGGGAGCAGAGCAGGCAGACTGACGAAGTACACTGCTGAGAGGAGCAGCGGACGCAGCAGGAGAGGTCTGTTGCGCCATGTGGGACCCTCACCCAGCGGCCAGGGATCGAATGGGCGCTGCAGAGGTTGCGGGCAGCTTCACAGCCCAGCGCTCAACCGCTGCACCATCGGGGAGGCCCAAGACTTGAAAATTCTTATTCACAGAATGATTTACATAAATTTGACCACCTGTTAGGTGCTAGTCCTACGCTAAGATGATTTGGGGGACCTGTGTTGTAGTTCTGCCCACCAATAACTCCAACTCTCATAGATCTCAGATGGGGGAAGAGAGGATGGAAAATTTATCTCCATTTCTTAAAAGTCATGGTCTGGTAGTCACACACACATATCCTCTCTGCCCATGCTGCTGAGAACTCATCACATGGCCCTTCCTGGATCTGTGAAGAATATAGATCTGGGTACATGAAGGGGGATTGGCTGTTGGGGAGGCAGTTTACTGATCTCCTACAGGTTGATCTTATTACCTACCTGCTTTAAAGGAATCTCCAGCCTTTCCCAGACCTCACCAATCACTGCCCCTGGGTGCTGACCCCTACATAGATCACATAGTATCCCCTGAACACACCTTTCATTCACTTATCTCTCGACCTTTGCTCAGGAAGTTATCTCTACCCAGAGTTTCTTCCCTAATTTTCTTCTCTGCTTGATAAACTCCTATTCATCCTTCAAAGCCCAGTTAAAAGTCACCTCCTTTGTGGAGTCTTTTCCCCTGTGTTATCCTGGGTGGGTTCCTAATACGTAGAAGGCAGACTTACCACTGTGAATTTCCCAGAATGTCTAGGTCACAGCTGGGGCTTAGTGTGTGCTAAATGAATTGACTTCAGACATGAGAACTCATCTGGCTGCTAGCGACAAAAAACTCATCTCTAGAAAACGTATCTCAGTTCATCTGAAGAGACGATATTGATTAATGTAATTGGATGTGACCCAGAGCTATCTTCAGCCTTAGCTATATGCAGGGTCTTAAGTGATGGCCTTAATATTCAGTATCCATTTTGTCTTAGCTTTATTTTCAGGCTCCCTGCAAAAGCAAGATGGCAGCCAGCCACTCCCAACCTCTCTCACCTAGGTTCAAGTGTAAACCTAAATTCCATTATTACTCTGCTTGGACTAGTCAATATTACATGCCCATCCCTGAAATAATCACTCAGACCAGGGGGCTGGGGTTATGCAGATTGACCAGGAATCTAGCACTTGATTGGCCCTTCCAAACTTACAAGTTCTAATCCTGAGGCTGGTGGGGTCATTGCCAGCGTGTAAAAATGACCAGGAGGGAAGGCGGGTGTGGCTTCCCATGGACAAGTCAGGTTATTGTTACAAGGTAGAGAGGAATGCTGGGTAACCCTAAGCCCTCAAAAACATTCGTTACGCTGGACCCCTCGCCCCGGCCCACACAAAACAGTCCACGTACCAGCCATTGTTAACTGAACACTTCCTATGTGCCAAGCTCAGGGCCTTACATGCTCAGTGTGTGAGGTAGCTTCTAGAATGTCTCCTGTTTCCAGATGAGGAAACCAAGGCACAGAGAACTGAGGTGACTTGCCCAAAGAATAAGTGACTGGGGAAGAACTTGGCCTGAGATCTGGTGATTGACACAATTAACCCTCAAACTGCGGTGCTGCAGCACCCCTTGGTGGGTGGCAAAGCTACTGTTTTTGCTTTAGGAATTTTTCCCCGAAGCCTTGGAGAGGGTGTGGGTAGGGGGTGTGAGGAGGATCTCGCAGTTCTGTGGGGCTCCTAAGATTAACGTTGTCATCCCCACCTGTGAATACCTACAGGGCAGCGAGAAGGCCCGAGTGATGACAAGATAACAAAAATATCTCCCATTTAACGGGGAGGGTGTCCCCCCACAGTTGAAGACGGGCACCTTTTGCTTTAACCCCTTTAACCTGACGCCATTTGGGTCCCTCTTCTTTGGGAACACGGGGCTAGAGGGCACCTGGCACGTTGGCGCCATCTGCCTGGCTCCTAATAATAACTCGTGAGAGCAACGGGTTTCAGACAAACATGGCTTAAAAAGAAGCCTCTCCTCACACCCGGGGCTGCCATCTGTGTGTGGTCCTGGGGTGCCAAGCCGTGGGAGGAGGGAGTGAATAGTGGGTGGGGAAGGGAGAAGGCACCACCTGGCCTGCACCACCAACTGGGGCGGCTCACAAGTTCTTTTCCTTCCCCCTCATGGACAGGGCAGTCAGAGAGAGAAAGGAGCACTCGCTGGCTTGGGCCACCCCGCTACAGTGAACAGAGGGAAGACGCGATTCCGTCAAAATGCCGAAGGTGGGTCATAGCTCCCGTGGCCAGGCACCTGCTGTGGGCCATCCAGTGCTTACATCGGCTACTCTAATCCAGCAACGAAGAGACGAGAGGCTGGGGGTTCAGAGATGTTGAGGGACTCACCCAAGGTCACACAGCAGGCTGCCTCTTTAGTGTGCAGTATTGAGGCCCCGCTTCCTCTCCACTCAGGCGACCTAGGGCGGTTTTCCATGTAACAGATGAACAGTTGACATCACCCAGGAATGATCTTCCACCTCCAGCCTGGCCCCAGCCCCCTCCTCCCGTTCGCTGCTCTTGAACTTGTCACCTAACCCGAGGCTCAGTGGCCCCACTGTCTCACCCCGTGTAGATCTGGAGAAAAGACTCCGAATATTACCCAGAACTTTCTGAGAAGGCCAAAGAGCAGCTGGCAGAGGCCGAGCTTCGGAAACTGAGGCAGCAGTTCAAGAAGATGGTGGACAGCCGGAAGTCCTTTAACTTCCGCTCCCAGCAGAAGCTCAGCAGCCAGCTGTAAGTAACAGTGGGGACTTATGCTGAGGGAACCTGGGGAAACTTGGGGTTTGGTGTCAAGGGGCTTGTCTTTGTCAACGTACAAAGGCCTCTAGTGCCATCTCACCTCCAACCTCAAAGGTGGTTAAACGGGGAGCCCACCTGCCACTGTCCCCGGCTCTGCCTGCTGGGAATCAGAGGGATGGACCGAGGGGTCCTGAGACCCTCTGGCCAAGATCAAAAGAGGCTCCACAGACTGTGTGAGGACAGACAGGAGTCAGCGTTGAGTCATTAGTGAAGGCTTGGGGAAAGAGAGACCTCTGCGGGCCTGAGAGAGACTCTCCGAGATGCCAGGCTAGGTTTTAGCACCAGGGGTTGAGAATGAAGCAATCAAACTTTATTGGCTGAGAAGGCCAGGAGTGGACTTGGCTAAAGTCTGTTTGTCTGACCAGAGTGGGCCTTCGTGTAGCTGGTTGTGAGAGCCACCAGCTGCAGCTCTGTGGGCCACAGGGCTGGCGAGCATCCCCTGGGCCAGCATCTCACGGAGGCTCTGTGCCCGCATCTCCAGTTTAAACCAGTCTGGTCTCAAGGTCTGTAACTCTTCTGCAACAGCCAGCTTGGTAAGCTGTAAAAAACAGAGCACGGGCTGGGGAAAAAATAGTAATAAAAACAACAGGCCAAGGAAATTTATGGCACGGGTGACCTACGGTTGTCGGGCCTGTTCAACCTCTTGTTAACCAGCCCTATAAAAACAGCGGGAACGGCAGAGTTCTGTCCTGGAGTCCTGTCCTGTCCTTGGTGAGGATCCTTCCGTCTCACCCCGGGCCAGGGACCCAAGGCTGAACCCCCTTGGGGTCATTTCAGTGGACAGGAGGGATATTATTGAATTTGGGGTGTCTCTGGGACTCCGAGGGGGCAGGGCACCAGTGTCTACAGGATTCAAATAAGAAAAATTGCTTCTGGTTCCCATTTCTTTCTACATGTGGGCTTTCTTCTCTCTCTGGATCTCAACCATGGTGGCTGGGAGGGGGCTGTCTCTAACTCTGGAGCTACAAAGGGCCACAGAGAGAGACTATTCCAACCCCAAACTCCCAGGAGAGGGAGAATCTGATCGTCTCAGCTTGGGTCAGCTGTCTACTACCTGGTCCAATCAGCTGTGGCCAAGTGGCCAGGGTTATCATCCCAGGCTGCTGGCAGTGGAGATGGGGCGTTTCTGGAGAAGCAGAAGTTACTGGGTTTTGGGTACCCCCAAGGGGCACTTCCTGCTTGTGTGTCTTCATGGAATCTGCAAGACAGAGCATTTGAAATTGGTTGCCCTAGAAATTATAGTCTGCATCATTTATTTGAGCAATAGAAAGATGTTCCTTGGGACTGAGTATACAAACATTAAACAGGCTTTGTAGCTTCTCTCCAAGGGAATGTAATTCCTTAGCCATATCGATAATGTTTACACAGGCAGAAACCGCATTATTAGAAAGATACTCTTACTGTTAGATGAGGCGTGGAGTTCAGATGGGGAGAAGGGGTTCTTTAGACTCTGCATGGATTCAACTCACTCAGAGCCACAGCTGCTTCATAGGGATCTTCATGTGAGCTAGAAAAAGTCATCCTTTCTCAAGACTTTTTACTGACATCTGTTGGAACAAAATCACCATTATGGAGGGATGATGTTACAATAAGACAATAACACAAAGTGCAATAAGTCAAATCAGTTATCTTTTCCCAAGCAGATGGAGCTCCCTCAGACTGTGCAGTGCACAACCTGCACATCTGTCCCTGGCGACCCTGATCACAGTGGGCCGCTAGGAGGCAGTGGCAATCTCCTTCCTGATGCACCTGACAGTTTTTCTTGAATCTTATTATCACCTTACCCTACCCCAATCCATTTCATCTGTTTTCACTCTGATGGAATTGAAAGAGAGGCAAACTAAAGAATGGAGATTTTAGATTCTTTGAGTGAAACACACATAAAAAGGGTCAAAAAGGGTGAGGTGCTTAGGGTACACTATTGAAGGAGGTGCCTTTTCCCAGTGCTGACCCTGCATTTATACCACCCTGAGAATTTGAGTTTCCTTCACCCCATCTGAGCCCTCTCTACACAACAGACAAACCTTTCTGCTTTAAGATCACCTCTGGAAGCCTGACTGGACCAATGTGCCCTTTTTCTCTCTCCTTCCTAACAAAGACCCCCTGGAGAGGGTCAGGGGAGGTAGGAGGGGGTGTCCCAGCTGCCAAGCTTAGAAGACAAGGTGCTCTAGAACTGGGAGTACTCTCTGGTTGTACACACACACACCTACACACACACACAGAGTGATTTACATTTGTAATTAATTAAATACAATTAAATATTTAGGTCTTTCATTGCAGTAGCCACATTGAAATGGATGCAATGGGACAGAGCAGTAGACGGCATTTCCGACTGCATGCTTTAGAAACCAGGTCAGCAGGGGCCTCCCTGGTGGCGCAGGTGGTTGAGCACAGTGCTGTGAAGCTGTCCGCAACCTCTGCAGTGCCGGTTCGATCCCTGCTGGCCTCGGAGTAACCCACATGGCGAGCAGACCTCTCCTGACTTGCCCGCTGCTCCCCTCAGCAGTGTACATCGGTCAATCTGCCTGTTCTGTTACCTGCTCTGTCTCTGGTGAATCCTCTCACCCTCTGGTGCATCTGGCCTGTACCCCGGTTCTTGTATAAATAAAATAAATCTTTTTTGTTTTTATAGAGACATGTTTTATTTATTTATTTGTTTGTTTGTTTGTTTATACATGCTCTGGGTACTGTCAGAAGCGCGGGAGGGTGAGAGAATTCACCAGAGCCAGAGCGGGGAGCAGAGCAGGCAGAAGGACCGAAGTACACTGCTGAGGGGAGCAGCAGGTGGCAGGAGAGGTCTGCGCGCCATGTGGGACCCTCCTCCGGTGGCCGGGGAGCAGCCGGGGATCGAACCGGTGCTGCAGAGGCTGCGGGCAGCTTCGCAACCCAGCGCTCAACCGCTGCGCCACCAGGGAGGCCCAAATAAAATAAAAAAAAAAAAGAAAAAAAAAGAAATCAGGTCAGCAAACAATGGCCCTTGGGCCAAGTCTGGCTGGTTGCCTGTTTTGTAAATAAAGTTTTATTGGCACACCGCCATGCCTATTCATTGACAGGAAGCCTATGGTCACTCTGTTGTGTGCTTACAACAGTAACCACCAGGCCTACAAAGCCTAAACTATTTAATTTTTGGCACTTTTGGAAAAGGGTACGCAGACCTCTGTTTTAGAACATTTTGCTGTCCTAAACTTGAATGTATCAGTCATTTGAGAATCATGTTACAGAGCAGATTCTGACTCATTAGGTTCCAGGTAGGGGCCTGGGCCTCTGCGTTTTCCCAAGCTTCCCAAAGAAGAGTGAGGGAGCTGGTCTACCCCCCACACTGAGCAGCTGGTTTCGGACACCCAGAATTTGCCAGAAACCCAGCCTCTGTTCCATTTCCCGTTGTTCAGTTGTTGTGCAGTCGCCTGGGCTATCTCTTTTTGAAATTCCCGTTTGCTCATGTCCCCACCTCCTCTCTCCTCCAGGGTAGACAGAGGGAGAGAAAGGAGGAGACTTGTGCCAGCAATTTAATAAATCATTAGCACCCCATGTAGAGAAACTGGTAGGGGCTAGAGGTTACAGCGCATCTCTGTGTTGACACAAAATTGAAAAATCCTGCCTGATGGGTTTGCCTCTCATTACCAGAGATAATTGGCTGCAAAGTCTGGCAAGAAAGTGAAAAATCAGACAGATGCCAGTGAGCCGCTGGCAAAAGAGGACTTGGGGCTCCCACTATGTCTAGGTAATGGGTTTTGACAGGTACATTTGCAAATTGTTCCCTAGGAAAATAAATGACCACCCGAGGCAAGTGGAGGGGTGAAAGCTGCTGGGAATTGGGTCACAGATGATCTGACTTTTAGACCCAGACCAAAGACTTTTGACAAATCCCTTCCACTTGGTCAGGTGGGATCAAGGTAGACTGGAGGACTCCAGGGTAATCACAGGCTGCTTTTCCCACAGCAAGGAAATCAAGACCCTGCAGGAAGAACAGGACGAGCTCACCCTGCTTTTGAGTCTCATCAATTCCTCAAGGAACTTGGATCTGAATGACAAAAACTACGTGGAATTGCGCTTTCTGATGCAAACCAAGGAGGAGTATGAGGCCCTGATTAAATCCATGAAAATGCTGTTGGCAGACCTGGATGGGAAGGTGTGGTCTTTCTCTTAAAGGGTCAACCAGCACACAGAGCAAGGGGAAGGCGTGGTGGAAGTACCCATGATGCCATAGGCCAAATTTGACCCCCTTCCTTCCCCCCACCTCACTGATGATTCTACCATCTCATGATTCCTGGTCTTCTAGACCCATGGATCTATTACCTCACTGTGGTCTCTGGTGCCACAACCACCCCTCCCCCCATCATACTTAGAACAAATGGCCAAATCCTTTTACCAGTCAGCAGAAGCTGGGTTATGCTGCAGTAACAAAAACACCTCCATAACTCAGTGGTTTAAAACAATAAAAGTTTCTTCCTGGTTCATGCCATATGTCTGCCATGGACTGGCTAGGGGCTCTTCTATCTTCTCATTCTGGAGCCAGGCTGATGGACTCCTGTTCATCCTGTCCACCGTCTTGCACAAAGCCAGTTCTGGAGGGTCTAACACTGGCAATTGAATGTTTCAGCCTGAAGTGACACATCACTTCTGCTCATGAATCATTGGCTCAAAATAGTCCAACAAACCCATAAAGACACCCTGATAGCTATGTCCCAAATAGGCAAGGCTCTCTAACCACAAATGGATCTAGGAAGTGCAAACCTTCCATGGATCCCGTAAGCAAAAGAACTGGAGACATCTGGAGAGTGTTAATGGCTGTATCATCTTTTTTTAAAAAAAGATTTATTTTATTTATACAAGCACTGGGTACAGTCAGAAGCGCGGAAGGGTGAGAGAATTCACCAGAGCCAGAGTGGGGAACAGAACAGGCAGACTGACGAAATACACTGCTGAGGGGAGCAGCGGGCGGCAGGAGAGGTCTGTGCGAATGGCTATATCACTTACTATGGCTTGAAAGGCCCTGTATAATCTAGCCATTGCCTACCTCCCAGCCTTGGCCTCATCACACATCCTTCCCTCCTTAACTTTTCTTATTGAAGCCACAGGAGACTTTTTTTTCCAAATATGGTAAGACTTTTCCCACCTCAGTGCCTTTGCACATGCTCCACTCTCCTGGCTGCTTGTCTTTGAAGTCTCCAGTTAAATGTGACTTCCTGGGGGAGCCCTATCCTATGCCCTCTTCCCAGTTTATAGTCAGTCCTCCGTATTAGTTAGGTTCCTGGCCAGAAATCAATTGTGCTCTAGGTTAGGCACTTTGAGAAGAGTTAAATGAAGGGACAATTTACCAGGTATGAGTGTGAGTAGGGACCTTGAAGAACTGGAGGGTTAGTGACAGTTCAGGGGTCAGGGGAGGACTCACTCTCCTTCATTCTTTCCTGTTACTAATAATACATTGTCAAGTACACACTCCTTAAGGGTGCAACCTGATGAATTTTTACATATAGCAGGTTCTTGAATATGTCACTTCATTTAACATTGTATTATTATTAACGAGGGGAAAATAAATCAATCCTGATCTCCCTTGAACAAAACTGTGTTATTCAAGGGCCTGGTTTTGCTATACATCGTTTTGCTTGAAGTTGCAGTATCCAAGAACCCACTGATGACCTTGAGGACTTACTGTACATATATATATATATATATTTATATATATTTATATATATATATATAATAAACCATCACCAAGATCAAGATATGTAGAACATTTGAGCACTCCCTCTCCCACTAGAAGGCTCCATGATCATGTTCCACTAACCACTCACCAGGGAACCTGACCTCTCAAATTATGGGTTCATTTTGCTGCAGATAGAATGGCACATAAATGTCCCCTTCTCATCCTTGCTCTTCATGTCTTGATTTTTTTCCCCTAATATTGTAACACCTTTACAATCCCAAAATGAAATTCATAGATGATAGAAACCTTTACCTCTCCTTAGTCTTTCAAATCAATGCCCTAGCTATAACATAAAGGAGAAAAAAAGGAAATTTATTTATACTAAAATTATATGTATTTCAAGAGGTGAATATTCTGGCCTGACTTATCCAGAACACTGACAGCAAACTGTTTCTGCAGAGGGACATAGAGGAAACATTTTGGCTTTGCAGGTCACATAGCTTGCATTGCAGCTACCCCACACTGCCATAGCAGTAGGAAGGTACCCAGAGATGGTGCATAAAGCATTGGCACAGGCAGTGAGCCAGAGAGGACTGAGGGCCACAGATTTCAGACCCTGGTATGAAAGATGTCATCAGAGGCCTCAAATTTCAATATGCAGAATCACTGAGGATTCCATCCTGAAGACTGATTGGGGCTTGAATCTGCAACCCCAGGGCCGGGTTGTGCTGGTGAAATGCAGACAAATTTTCATATGCAGACAAATTCTTGGAAACATTTCAGACACATCAAGGAATGTTCTGATTTATTTGTGGATAATTAAGTGTCTGTTAGAACAGAATGAAAAATACCCTGGGTTTATATATAAAAGACAGGTTGATTCTAGGTACAAAAAATTATTAAAAGGGTTTTCACTGCATCATATCCAGAGGGACATTGAGAAGTCACAAGGGACAGGGGCTAATTCTTAGAGGTCTGACACTATCTCACACAGCATGTGTGGCTTCTCGTTACCTACCCATGAAAGGCAGCTGATGCCTGCCCCCACCCTGCCCTCCACCACCACCACTGCAGTGCAAAAAAAATTCCAACAGATTACAGAGGGTCCCTCGGGATACAATGCCAGTTCTGGTGGACACCATGGCTTGAGGGTAAGGTGGCATTTGTATCCACAGGTGAGTGAAATTCACATGCATAGATGAGATTAAAAAAAAAAAAAACCCAAAGGGCCTCCCCTGGTGGCGCAGTGGTTGAGCACTGGGCTGTGAGGCTGCCCGCTGCCTCTGCAGCGCCGGTTCGTTCCCCGGCTGCCGGCGAGGGTCCCACAAAAAAAAAAAAAAAAAAAAAAAACACAAAAAAACAAAAACTCTGCCTCCTTTTAGCCCAACCTGGCTAAATTGAATTCAGTATCCAAGAAAGAAATCAAAATTCCATTTACATGAAAAGAAAGAACAATGTGCTTTTTGGATTAGCACACTTGAGTTAGTGAACTGCAGTAGAATTTGTCTCCATACAGATGTTAACACAGCTGGATTATTTCTCTCTCTCTCTTTCTCTCTCTCTTTCTCTCTTTCAGATTGTTCAGATGGAAAAAAAAATTCTGAGCCAAAGACAGATCTTCCTCAAGATACAGGAGGCCAATAACCCCCAGAAATTGCAAAAGCAGATCCACATTTTGGAAACCCGTTTAAATCTCGTATGTAAGGTGTTCTCTGCAGATGTGTGTGGAGCCAGTAGCAGAATGTACCCACTTGTTGGTCAATTCAGGACAAGGTGCACTAATAGTGAACACACAGCCAGGCAGTCTTTTGTAATTCACCACTCACCCACTCTGGTCCACCCATTCTTGTTGGCCCATTGTTGTCCAAGGTGCCTTTCTGTTGCTTCCTCTCTGCACCTTAGCACATGGGATTGTCCCCACCCCTCCTCTGCCCCAAACTCCACCCCTCCTGGAATGCCTATCTTCATTCCATGACTCAAAAACTCCTTGTTTTCAAGAAGCAGTTAAACTAATTACCCTTCACCAGGCAGAATTCACTGTATCTTCCTCCCCCATGGTGATCTGCGCGTGCCTCCGGTAGAGTGTGTGCCCTTTGGTCGTGGTTGGTGAGGGTCTCTGAGAGACATTCGTCATGGACATGCATAACTGGGTAAGGAGAAAAGAGGTGTTTCCTGAGCAGAAAGAGGGAATGTATTGATCATAGAACTGAAAAATTCAGGGGGAGTGGAGACTAGGGTTTCAGGATTAGCTGGATCCTGGTGCTCCAAACATGTCTTTAGGGTACTTTCTATGTCCATCTGTCCTCTGGGTGGGGATGACTTCATTGTTGGGTGCTCCCCAGTATGAAAGGAGCATCTCTTCCCTAAGTGTTCAGCCACAAGTCCCTGAGAGGCTCCCCATTGGGCCATCATGGGTCACTTGTCCATCCCTGACCCAATTGCTGTGGCCAGAAGAATGGGACACACGGACTTGAGTTATACAGCCTCCCTCGGAACACCCTCCTCTCTGGGTCAGCTCAGTCTGATGTGGGCTAAGAGTTGGGTAGAAGAAGTTCTCCTAGATGAGCAAAAAGAAGGGGGGAAGGCATGCCCGGCAGGTGCAAACACATTCCACGTTCACATTCTGACTCGTGAAAGGGAAGCTCCCACCACCCGAGCGTGGCTGGATTTGGAGGGCAGCCTATCTCTATGCAAAGTTCTCAGCGTCTCTGAAACCCTGACCACTGGGCTTTAACGGGCATGGTTGAAGCTAATTGATTCTTATCACTGTCTGCCTCCCCCAGTAACCTGGAAGTGGCTTGAGGGCAGGGCAGTGTTTTTCTAATATTTGTGCCCAGTGATTTGCAGTCAAATACATAGCATGCAAGTTACAACGCAGAGTCCTGGGTCCCCTCGAGAGTCACTTACTCAGAACCCGCAGGGCCGTGGGACCTCCGTGATGCTTTGGACCTTCACTATTAATAACATTGATGCAGCTGAAAAGCCCCTTGATTAAGAATCAATGTCTAGCCCAGCATGAGGCTCAGAGTAAGTGCCAGCACGCATCTGTTCATTGAATGAATAAATGCAAGCACAATTTAATGACGACTTGCCTGTAGCGGTCCACCTTTTGGACATAGGTCTGTCCAGATTTTCTATTTCTTCTTGAGTCAGTTTCATCATTTCTTTCTAGGAATCTGTCCATTTCATCTAAGTTATCCTGATTTGTTGGTATACAGTTGTAGCTGGCATATTCCTTTATAATTCATTTCTTTCTCAAAGTCTATGGTATTATCCCCTCCTTCATTTCTGAGAGGTCCGATTTTTGCGGCTCAAACTAGTCCCCTCTCCCCTTCTTCCCTGCTGTGTCTGGCTGTGCCTTTTAGTTGATTAGCCACCTCTAAAGGTTATTTCAGGGCCCTAGAGGATCCCAAGACCTTAGAGTCTCTGCCACTGACTCAGTGGAGCCTGAGAATCTTTTCGATGAGTCAGAGGACAAGGGATAGCATGTCAGTAGCTTTGGAGTAAAATTCACCTGAAAGGCAAATGACTAATAACTAATATCTTCCTAAGGGTAGGGGGAGGTTGCAAAAATAGAATAAGAATGCTCTGCCCCTGGACTCCCTTCAGCTGTGTGGTGGCTTGGGACACACCCTACAAGAAACTCAGGGCTGGGATTAGGGCAAGGCATGCCGATAGCCCCAGATGCAAAATTTAAGGAGGCGCTCACTCTCAGATTTGTGGGAATCTGAGTTGACACCGAGAGCAGGTATGTCCTTGAATCTTGCCACTCAGGCCTTCCCCATCTCAGCCCTGCAGACACCCACCTCTTTGCAGAACAGGCTTTGAAAATCTCTCATCAAACCTATCCCCTTCCCTAGAGCAATACATATTTTTTAATTGTTTCTTTTCGTTGTTTATGTTACACTTTGCATCACCTTTAAAGATTTTATGCTTGTTAAGACACATTTACGAAGGCATACAAAAAAGAGGAGGGAGTAAAACAATGAACACCTGTGACTTAGATTGAACAATTGTTCACATTTTGCTGTATTTGTTTCATCCTTCTTTTCCCTGATATTTTAAGGTAAGTTACAAAATTATCTTATGGTGACATTTCACCCATAAATACTTGCGTGTCCTGTCTAAAAGTTAAACATTTTCTCTCAAACCATGAGCATGAGACCATGATTTCACCTTATAAAACGAATACTATTTTCTTAATATTGCCCGTGCTAACATCTCTCTAGCTCGCCCCCAAATGACTTTTAAAGCTGGATCCAATCAGAGTTCATATTAATGTGAGTTCTCAAGTTTCTTTAATCTAGAACAGTGGTTCTCAATTAAGGCCAATTTTGTCCCCAAAAGAGACATTTCTGGTGTGGCAGCTGGTTGGAGTGTGGGTGCTACTGCCACCTAGTGGACAGGGACCAGGCATGCTTCTGGAACTTCCCAGTCGGGACAATCCCCACCACAAAGCATTATCCAGCCCCAAATGTCAGTAGTGCTGACTTTGAGAAACCCTGCTCTACATAAACCCGCCCCAACTCTTAATGCCATCAACAAGTCGAGGAGCTCAGCTCAGTGGTCCTGTAGAAAGTGCACCTTTAGGATTTGACTGATGGCTTCTGCATGGTGTCATTTGTCTTTTTCCTCTCTCTTGGAATTGCCGGAATCCGGAAGCTAGGTAAACAAGATCTGACTTAATTCACTTACCCAGTTAGTGGCCAGCTCGAGCTCTCACCAAGCACTTCAACCCCTGTCTCTGACCTGGGATGGGAAGTGGTGGTGGGTGGAAGACTTCCAACCCTCTGGCTGCCTTCTGGAAGCTTGTCTCTTGCCCCAGGAGTAAGCCCTGCTCTGAGGCACGGTCCTCCCCACAGGTCACCACTCACTTTAACAAGATGCTGGCCACGAATGCGAAGCTCCGGAAGGAGATTGAGGACCTCCGGTATGAGAAGGCTGCCTATGACCACGTCTACCAGGAGCTCCACCAGCGCCTGCTGATGCAGAAGAAAACCATGAACTTGGCCATTGAGCAATCCGCTCAGGCCTACGATCAGAGGTGGGCAAGGGAGAGACTTAGCTGGTATTGCTTAGCTTTCTCCCGAGTGTCAGCTTCCCAGTCTGGGCCATGTCCTCTGTGCTTGTGTGTTGAGAAACCTTCAATCACCATCATCAAAGCTCTGAGCACTGAATCTGTGCATGCATGGTGCCAGGTCCCCTAGGTATTATTGCAACCCTCACAACTGCCCTTGGAGTCTATCCCCATCTCATAGACCAGAACATGGAGGTGTAGAGATGCCAAGGTACTTAGCTGAGATCAACTAGATGGTGAAGGGATGGAGCTGAGTTCAAACTACGATGTCGTAGCATCTCCTCCAGGCACCCCCAGGGGTCTCTCTTGGTCTGGGTTATCTCCTGGCTTCACACTCGCTGGGGCTAGAGGCCACTAGCTTAGTTGTGAGAAGCACAGTGTTTGGAATCGGAGAGATCTGCGTTTGAATCTTGCCCTCATCACTACTACATTGTTGTGGGGACTCTTTGGGCGCAGTGAGGGTTAAATAATATATGTAGATGAGGGAGTGACTGGGACATAGTAACTGACAAGACGGTGGTGATAATGGTGGTGATGGTGATGATGATGATGTGATGACCATGTTCGTGATGACGATGGTGGTGGTATTGGTGATGATTATGATGATGGTGGTGGTGGTGATGATGATGTAATGACCATGTTCATGATGACGATGGTGGTGATCATCATGATGATGGTGGTGGTGATGGTGGTGGTGCTGATAGACCATTTCATGGAGATGATCTTAAACTTGCAGCTCTTGTCAGTCATGTAAGGAAGGTTGTTCTACTCCCAGAAACTTCCATGATAAAAAGAAATAACGGTCACTGGCCAGGCAGGAAGTATCTCTGAACTGGTTGGGCGAGGGTCAGAGAAGAGGCAAGTCTTTTAGAGGCCCAGACTCTGTGTTCCAGGCTGGAGGCCATGGCTCGGATGGCTGCCATGAAGGACCGCCAGCAGAAGGACATCTCTCAGTACAACCTGGAGATCCGCGAGCTGGAGCGCGTCTACAACCACGAGTCAAAGCTCAAATCCTTCCTGCTCGTCAAGCTGAATGATCGCATAGAGTTTGAGGAGCAGGCCAAGAAAGAAGGAGGTGCACGTTCCAGGCTCCTCTTCAGTCTCTCCCTCTCCCCCTCCCACCTGAGGGTGCCAGGTCTCCCCGCAGTGAGATCACCAAAATTAGCAAATAAGGATGCAAACAGAAACTAAAATTTCTGTTTGTCTGAGTCCTCCAGGGAAAGCTCCCGGGCAGCGGGTGCATCTCCTTCAGGGCGCAGCGAATGCCTCATGGAGACTGGTGAAGGGGCTGGGAGTGAAGGTCTTGCCCCAGCTCCTGGAGGGGCCCCCTACCCCTGCCCCCGCCCCTGCTCCCAAGGCAGCATCCGAGTGCTCCCCTTCCAGACTCACGCTGCTGGCTCCCTTTCTAGCTCTCAAGGCCGTGAAGCACGGGAAGAGGAACAAGGGCGAGAGCCTGGAGAGCTACGAGGTGGCGCACCTGCGGCTGCTGAAGCTGTCGGAGAACGGGAACCTGAACCAGCTCATCAGCGATTTTCTCGCCAAGGAGGAGAAGAACTTTGCTCGGTTCACGTACGTCACGGAGCTGAACAACGACATGGAGATGATGCTCAAGAAGACCCAGAGGATCCAGGTTGGGGCACCGCTTACTCCCCGGGCTCGGGACCCACCTGCTCCCACAGCAGCCTTTCCCAAAGTGGGTTCCTTGGGACACTCCTTGAGCTGCTGTGCCGAAAAAAGGGCCTCAAAGTCAAGTCACTTGGGGAACACCCCCCAGAAGTCCTCCCAGAGCGCCCCGTCACTTTAGTCTTTCTGAAAATTTTTTTAAAGATTTATTTTTATTTATTTATGCATAGAAGAACTGGGGTGTAGGCAAGACGAGCGGGCGGGTGTGTGTGAAACAGAGTGGGGAGCAGAACAGGTGGATCTACTGAAATCCACTGCTGAGGGGAGTAGCGGGGAGACAGAGAGGCCTGCTGCGCCCTGTGGGTCAGCTCCCTGATGGAGTTCAGGCCGCTGTGGCTGGTGATAGCCTGATAGTGCTGAGACTTAACCCCTCTACCACCAGAGAGGCCCAGCCTTTCTGAAATTA